CCCCAAAACCCCAAAACCCCAAAACCCCAAAACCCCAAGTTAGCCACAAGTTGTTGGAAATTAAGCTATGAGTCGTCACAAAGTCATGGAAATTACTGATAGCTCGAAGGCGTTTGGAGGTATTGTACTTATAAGCAGCGATCCACTAATTTAAAGCCTTAAAGGACCGTTTGCTTTAGCTTATTTGGGAATGAATATGATACCATAATTAGAACACTAGCTAATGAAACTGTAGAGTTTGCCATTATTTACGAAATGGTGTATATACAAACATTGACTTCACAAGCTTGGCTTAATATTCTTGAGAAGGTGGTATAGAAATGTTCCAGAAAATTTATGAACAAACTTGGTAGATTCCAACCTGCCCATATTAACCCTACTGAAGACTTATTTATAGAATATGTTGTAAGGATTATTTAGCCGAAAGTATTCTTTATTTACAGAGCTGCTTTGAGAAAGCTACCATTGGAAACTAAAATTGTGCAGTCCAAGGTTCATATAGTATATTTGCTTGTACACAGGACCATTACTTCCGGTGAACCTTCTTTGGCTAAAGTCTTATTCTTTGGGGGATTAATCTTCAGAAATCTCCAAATCGTGGTTGATCACTGCAATTAAGATGATCTCCTCATTGATGTCATAATGGTATAGGTTATAATTGTTCTTAAGTTCTCGTCCGTAGTATAGAAGTCTTATTCTATTTGATATTGTCAACATCCTTTAAATCTGCGTATTTTTCTTTGAGTTCTAAGACTGTGGAATGGTCGCTGATCTCAACCTCATCGTCATCGAATTTGGATGCATTCCGAAGGATCAGAGTTAAGGTTTTCTCGTCTTTTGGGGCTTTGACTTCTTCTAACCGCTTCTTCTCAAGGTCTTCGCCATAGCCAACAGGCTCATTAATGATAGCAGGAGGGAGAACGTAGCTCTTGCCGGTCTGGTCATATCACATCTTCATGCCAAGTCTTGACTCGTACTTAATGTCATTGTTCTTGAGAAGCTCTTTGGCTTCATCAGCTTGTAAGTCTACAGCTTCTTTTAGAATGTTCCAGACCCACTCGGAGCCTTCAGCTCTGGTTTCCCAGAACTGGTCTTTCCACTTTTTGTACTGATCCTCAGTGAGATCGACAGTGAAGGCCTCTGTTTGCTTGATGCCTTCTCCAGTCATGGTATCAGGAATAATTTTCTCAATTTTGTCCAATGTGCCGTAGTAAGGTACCGCATTAGGGCGATTCCCACCTCCTCTAGCAGGGTTCCTAGGGGCTTCTCTCTGAGGTCTTGGAGGACGAGGGTTCTCCCTCCTAGCTCCTCTCGGACTCTTTGCTTCTTCCTGGTTTGACGATCAACAACCCATTTTATTTTAAAATATTTTTATATTTCTATAAATTTGTTGTTTATGGGGTTTTGGGGTTTTGGGGTTTTGGGGTTTTGGGGTTTTGGGGTTTTGGGG